TACCTTTGAAATAGCAGTACTAGATAATCATTTTCAACTTCTATATTGCTATTGGAGCTCCGCTATTAGGTGTTACCTAATTTTTATATTAACAGTGTTGTATATCTCAAGCACATAAATTTAGGACTTTTCAAAGTATACATAAAATGTAGGTAGTAATTAAAAGATCATTACAAATCAGAGTTCGGGTAAGTCTAAATGTCAATTGGTTGGTATGAAAACGTTACGTGGCGTCATCATGTCACATTGCGTAGATTTAAAAAGAAATCAGTAAGTGTCATACTTACTCGCCAGAAAATAGCTATTTTCTTGAACAGCAATGTTTAACAACRTGTGTGTAGCCTTACAAAAAATCAAATTTAGTAAAATTTCTTATGATCTGCCATCTTGGATTTTTTCATTAATTCTGTTCTGAATAATTTGTTTATTAAAAAAATACATCAATTGACTGGAAACAAGGAATTATATAGTTCATCAAAACTTTTTTTATAATCAAATCATGGTATTTTCCAATAAAGTATTAGAGAGCTTTTTCACTTTTTTCACCATGCCTGAAAACTCAACATTGCTGCTATTTTCTCAAAAGAGCGTTATAAAGTGGCTAACAATTAAAAAATATCTGACATAAACTTAATCAACGTTATTATAAAATTGGGCCAGCTGTGATGAGTCGATATTTTGTTGATACTACGTGAACAAAAAAAAAGGTTTTAAATTCAAGTGTTCGCATTTTACAGAAAAAAAGGCACACTCTAAAACTTGTACCAATATAAGATATTTACCTCGAACTTCTAGAGATAGATAGCTTTATTAAAATCCTTTGCAGCCGTAAGGCTGGATAACGGATAATTACAACATAATTATATAATAACGTATGAAATATCAAAGATTGAAAAATTGAATTGCGTAAAAATCTAAGATATAAGTATATTGTATATGATTAAAAATTTGAAAAATGGTTAATACTATTGAATATGATCTAATAAAACTTTGTTTAAATCTATTTGTCCGACAAATTKGTGCGTTGAAATTTTGACACGCTTTGTAAGACATCAATAGTTATCGAAAGCACACTCCGACACAAGACCAAAAACCATWCACTATTAGGCGGAGTCCACGTATAATAATGAATGATATAGGGGAGTATTACCGGATCGATATCTAACAGTCATTGCATTGTAAACTGTCTGTGGGTCAAACGAAACATAAAATATATCCTTTGATTTTCAAATGCTTTATTTCTAAAACTTACTACAACTTATTAGTTACATCAGTGCAATACTTGCCTTAAAAATTCAATGATTTACAAACTACTCAAATAAGGAAACTCTTTACCCCACATCATTACTTTTTCGTAACGTTTGTTAAGACAAAGAAGTTGCRAAAATGCATTAATGATCTGGTAATTACTCTCGGTTCGTTTTAGCTCAAGCATTATTGTGTTTATATGCCCTAATTTATGTTGTCATSTATTGATGTGTTTTTCGTTCCGTTCCATCTTTCCGTGAAATCAGTYCTGCTCTTTATCCGCGAATGCAACGTCTGCACCTAACATAGCGACACCGGAAGACGCAACGCGAGGGACATCCATAGCATACTTTACGACAACGTCGGCAAGTTGTCCAGAAACATTTTAAGGGTCTGATGCAGCGGCGACGTCTAAACCCAATACGACGTCTAAACCCAATACGACGTCTAAACCCAATACGACGTCTAAACACAGAACGACGCCTAAACACAGAACGACGTCTAAACACAGAACGACGTCTAAACACAGAACGACGTCTAAACACAGAACGACGCCTAAACACAGAACGACGTCTAAACACAGAACGACGTCTAAACACAGAACGACGTCTAAACACAGAACGACGTCTAAACACAGAACGACGTCTAAACACAGAACGACGTCTAAACACAGAACGACG